AATCTAATAAAACGTGAAATTCAATATTTAAACTTCACAGTGGAATTTTTTAAATTTCTAGCAAAATTTTCTTCATAAATAATTGAAAGTTTATTGTAAGAGGTTGTGGCCATTTTGTAGAAGAACTTGATACATACTGGGTGTCCCTAAAATATTTTCTCGAGGCACATACGAGTTGTTCCGGTATGTCTGTCCACTACCCACTGTTTCTACTCAGTTAGCTGTGAAAATCTACAACCAATCCTTTCACAATTCGTCATATACTAATTATAAAACACGTTTCCACAGCTTTACTAGAGCCATTAATTTTTACACAGAAAAATCTATCAAAGTTCCTTCGTTGTCTATATTTACAAAGTATAAACAATTACTTCCATTACCAAGCAGATTCTCTTACTTTCGCCTTGAAACGCGTTTTCGAACGTTTTATTGCGTTTTATTTACGTTGATAAGTTCGATGCGATATATACACGGTCCGGTTGAAACGAGGTTAAAACTGCACTTATACCTCGAACGATTACAACTAATTATTACGTATATTATTATTGCGTGAGCAGTTTTTCCTTACCTTCGCGGCAAACGTATGAAATGATCAGTTACGTCTATCATCGTGTCCGCCATTAATGCGTCTCTTTTTGCGTAACATTCGAAAACTCGTGATAAGTCGTTTGAAAAATGCTCCAAGTATAAATATGGCTGACATCTGTCACGATAAAAATTAATCTTCGCCAATAACTACTGCAAAATATGACGAAATCGTAGAAAGTGATTTTAATTTTATCTGTTATCGTACAATTTTTATTAAGTCTCGATGGAAGTTGACTCCCAAAGTGTTTGTCAAAACACTTTCAACAAACTTGATATTTGCAAATTTGTTGTTATCGTACAATTTTTATTAAATCTCGATGGAAGTTGACTCCCAAAGTGTGTGTCAAAACACTTTCAATAAACTTGATATTTGTAAATTTGTTGTTATCGTACAATTTTTATTAAATCTCGATGGAAGTTGACTCCCAAAATGTGTGTCAAAACACTTTCAATAAACTTGATATTTGTAAATTTGTTGTTATCGTACAATTTTTATTAAATCTCGATGGAAGTTGACTCCCAGAGTGTGTGTCAAAACACTTTCAATAAACTTGATATTTGTAAATTTGTTGTTATCGTACAATTTTTATTAAATCTCGATGAAAGTTCACTCCCAAAGTGTGTGTCAAAACACTTTCAATAAACTTGATATTTGTAAATTTGTTGTTATCGTACAATTTTCATTAAATCTCGATGAAAGTTGACTCCCAAAGTGTGTGTCAAAACACTTTCAATAAACTTGATATTTGTAAATTTGTTGTTATCGTACAATTTTTATTAAATCTCGATGGAAGTTGACTCCCAAAGTGTGTGTCAATACACTTTCAACAAACTTGATATTTGTAAATGTGTTGAAAACGTCACTGTCATTACGAATATCGACTGTATTTTTCATGCTGTAATTTGAAAACGTGTTTAATTAATATGCACAGCTGGAAGTGTTAAAGAAACAGTTGTAATGAATTCATTTCGAGCGAAATTATTTATCTTCGGAAGATTACCAAGGTTATCTGGTAACCAGCGTCAGAAATTCCGCGATACTTGTTCGCGGATCGAAGTAACGCGGAATACATATTCCGTAAACGCGCGACAGCGTGACGCAACGCGTTCCCCGGCTCTTGTATCGCGATTTACTTTATTCCCGACAACGTACGCGCTTCCTCGACGCTTAACGGTGACGGGAAGCACCTTCGTACGAGTCGAAACATTTTAAGACGGAAACGGTGAAACCAATTACACGATTCATTTTACGGCAGTCAGCGACACGCTGTGATTACGGTCTCGTTAATAATTGTTGCATCGTGTTACGAGACTTTGACTTATGAATAAGGCTCCTAGGCGCCAATTACCCTGCAACCAAGTTAGTCAACGGGAAACTTACTAACAATGAATCTGTACTGTTCGCGGCAATTAGGGAACCGTCTATCTGGAAAATTCTAGGGAAATGAAGCAAATAATTACGGACGAAATGCACCGCGTTTAATGTAATAATATTCCTTTCTTCTTTCTTTAACGTCTTTATTACGCAAGAACGGAGGCAACGAATCCGCGAATATAAAACAAATAACGCAGGGGAGGCACATAAATGCATAAATTGCGTGGTATAACCGTAGTGCTGTTATTAAATCTCGCCGCGATTTCTGCCCGATAATTTACCGTAGAATGAACCGAGAACCGAACTACGGTGTAATTTATACTAAATTCATAAATGCTCCGTCATTTACAATGTAAAATAAGTTCTACTCAGGTTTGTGTAATTTATACAGCACGTGGGATCGTTTACGCGCGTATTAAGTACCTTATCGAGGCGTTTGCGCGAGTAATTATGTCGAACGCTGTTCGAATGTTCTTTTACAAAGGATATGTTCTTTGCAATTTTATTAGCTCAGCCTGGTTCGACGAGATAGGTAAATTTTGTCCTTGTTATGTATAATGTTATCGACTTTAGAGTTTTAAAATCCTTATTAATTGAAAAATTTCAGGAAAAGTAGAACAAAATTGACGACAGGGAACTTAATAAATGAGAAGAAAATTTTATAGTGTATATTCTGTCAGAATCCTCAACAATGTAGTTTAAAAAAGGAAAATGAAAATTTTATACTCACAAAAGTATTGTGTAATATTGGAATAATAATCTATTGTGTAATATTGTAATAATAATAATAATCTATTGTGTAATGTTGTAATAATAATAATAATCTATTGTGTAATATTGGAATAATAATAATAATCTATTGTGTAATATTGTAATAATAATGCAGTTTAAAAAAGAAAAATGAAAATTTTATACTCACAAAAGTATTGTGTAATATTGTAATAATAATAATAATAATCTATTGTGTAATATTGTAATAATAATAATAATAATCTATTGTGTAATATTGTAATAATAATAATAATCTATTGTGTAATATTGTAATAATAATGCAGTTTAAAAAAGAAAAATGAAAATTTTATACTCACAAAAGTATTGTGTAATACTTTTGAGTATCAAATTTCCGTAAACCACTTTGTTGTCTAATGCCTTTGTGAATATAAAATTTTCGTTTTTCTTTTTTAATGTACATTATTAAGTATTCTGACAAAATATACTAATTCTGAATATTAAAAGACATGATTCGAATTAATGTTTCACTTCAGCATGTTATGATATTTCAAGAAAAATAGTGTATGCACTTTTTACCCACTGTGTACATATATTTGATATGTAAAAAGTAAGCAAAATAAAAAAATACAATTTTTTCGATTTCGACGTAGTTTTATATGCACTTATGATTGAGATACGATTTACTGAGCAATATATAGTGTTCATCGTGTTTTTAAAGAATATTTCACGACTTTTTCTATGCTTCTCGAATCGTCAATTTATGGACGATGACGTCCCCGATCAAAGAGCGACATAGTAATTCATAAATGTCCTGTAAATGTTGTTTACAAGCACGATAGACGCTACATGTCAGTGGATGAATCGTATTTTAGTTATATAGTAATATGTAGCGAATTTTTTAATTTGATTATCTCCAAAACAAGGTCAAAATCGAAAGAATTATTTTATAAATTATGTTTTTATTTATCTTATATTTTCTTCACCTTTCGCCTGAAACACCCTCTATAATTGAGTTTGATAAGGTATCAAAACCATAAACTAAATATAAAGATTCCACTTTCCTACTATTTACGAGATTATAACGTTAATTGACAAACTAACGTGGTGAATGTAATAATAATATATTGTCTGAATAGATTTCTGTTCGATAAGAAAAAATAATAGTGGATTGGTGACAATATTTACAGCATCTTAGAAACTATGACACTGATCATTATTGTTAGAAAGATTAATTGATAACACATTCTTACAATTTTGTTTAAATTTTGTTCATTCGTGACCTCTCTTCATAAGACAAAATTATTAATATAAGAATAATTACTAAGTGTGCTTTTTAAGTACGAATAAAATATTCTGAAAAAAGAATTTTAACGACACATAACAAAACACGGCGTTTAATGGCAAAACAACGTTATTTCACAGTATGAAATTATTCCAATAATATTCCGCAGTTATTGCACGGTCAGTTGTTTTAAATTGCTTACCGAACGCACTGAAATCAGACATCCAGAAGCTTGTATTAGGCGTCAGCAGTTTTTGCGTCGAAACCTATACAAATAGATGGAAAAACACTGTATTGATAGTCTTGTTATTCAAGCGACAGTTATCGTATTCCATCGTTATAAAATTCTTTATAAAAGTGTTTACCAAACTTCGCCTATAAAGTAGCTCTTTTAGCATAATCTACAATAGAATTAATTCTAAGGAAGTCACGGTTAATCCGACAGATAGATGCGAAATTTGTAAACAAACACACCATAGAACTTGTCAATCCTTCATAACTCTTTATAAATTAAATTAACGTTTCATTGTCATGACTGTTTTCTTTCTAAACAACACATTCACCATTTCGTGTGTGTTCGTCCAAAACAGTACACAAAAACAAATTAAAATCCACAAGTGAGTTTTTTAGGAAATTTATTCGACACGATTCAACGGTAAATTAGTACCAAAAGAATCTTATTGCTCGATTTAAAAAAAAAAATCATAAATAAAACACTGTAATATTATTCGTGATGGATGCCAAAATAGCAAATTCACTGTAGATTCTAATAAAAAAAGGGTTAATTTACAGTACAAGAGGGGGAATACGATCTGCAAAAGGATCGATCTAAAGTGCAGGATTGTATTTTTAGGAGTTAATGATAGCACAGGTGCGCTGTTTTTGTATCCCTACCGAGAAAAACCGCGCTATGAGTCAAGCGTCGCGCCGTGCTGGTCACGTGGCCAACGGTGTCACGTGGCCAGCCCACGGAGCGACGCGATTGGCCAGCCGGCGGCCGAACGACCGCATATAGAGTGGCGCGAGACAAAAGTTGTAACGCAAAGCGTCAGCGAGTTTCAGTGAGCTGGTGCCGTGAGTGACCTTGATCCACTCGCTAGTTTCGTGACAGTACCGTTCGCAGAGGCCGAACCCGCCAGTATTAATCGAGTTATCGTCGCAGACACTTACCCGAGGAGCTTTCAGACACCGCGAGCATCAGGAAGAGAGGAAGAATGAAGACCTTCGGTGGCGTTTTACTCGTTGCGGCGTGTCTCGTCGCGAGCACGCATTGCTTCCCCAGTGAGTACAGCTTGAATATGTTTGAACAGTGATCTTTCGTGCAAACAGTGCGCTGAACGAAGGGACGACTCGTTGGAGAGAAATTAGAGTAAAGAACGGACACCTGTTCGATGGCCAAACATAATCGTTGTTTTACCGTGGATTTCTGAATTTTTCTTCGATGATCCGTGGGTCGATGTACCATCGATTCGTGTCTCGAGGTTCTTCTGATGATTCTAACGTTACCGGAGAACACAGAAGCCCGGAAGAAGTTAAAGTGCTCCGGTCGAATACCGCGGAAATTGCTAAGGTCATATTCGTGATCTTGTCGCGTGACAGCTGAATAAATGCTAGTTCCGAGCGAAAGGAGCATGCGTGCACGGAATACGTGAGGGGGCGAAATATATAGACTGAGGGGGGTACAGGGTGCTCGAAAAGTCACGTTCGTTAATCACAGTATGTTTGTTGTACGTGTACGGAACGCTCGATTCGGGAGGGATTTTTATTTTTACTTCTACTCCGACATTAGAAACCCGGATTCGATAATGTCGAAACATTTTCGCGCTAGTTGGCGATCGAATTCTACTTGCTGCTTATCGGAGATTGCAAATCGAAACGTTTCGATAGGTGTCGCGATATTAGCCTTTACTGTTGATTGTTAACAGTATGTTACCCCCTTACGCGGTTAACACTTTTCTTTTTCGACCAGCTAATGGTTATTTTCAAATTCCCAGAGAAACATTGTATATGTATTTAATCTAAATCTGCTGGTGATTTTCTGTAATTTATAATTTTCTATCGATAAGTGTATTCAGATAATCTTAATGTAGGTATATATCCTAATTGTATTATTAATTCAAAAAAATATAACAATAAAAAAAAAAAACTGTATATTTCAAACTTTAACTTTTAATTACTATGATACTAGAAAAATTAATTCTCAAGTTAAGACGTTGAGGGAAATAAATTTGGATAGAATTTGTAAATTATAACAAGGTTGCAAAAATAAGTACTGGAAAAAAATTCTAGGTTATGTAGCTTAAAATGGAGTGAAATCAATATTTTACTTTTGCAGAATATTGTACGGTATTGATTTGGCAGTGAACGTGTTAATACCGATCTAGTAATCGTCGTATTATGTATTTTCTTTTATAACATCTTTTCTATGACGTCACTTCTGTAAAAGTGTTTTTATCTTTTCAAATTCTCAAGTTGGCGATCGAATTCTGCTTGCTGGTTATCAGAGAACTTAAATCGAAGCGTTTCGATGCGTGTCGCGACATTAGCGTTTAAAAATAACCGATGAAATAAACCGGTCGGGCGCTAGTGACTCATCACAACAATCGTAATAACTCGAGCCTCAAGACAGAACCTATCTCACCCAGACGGAGCTCATTTTGTTTTCCAAATGGCTAATCGCATAACTGATTTGACGTCACGCGTTTGATATTTAGCGCTCGTTCCTAGCAGTTGTATTTTTAGAACTTTCTTAGAACGTTCTGGTACTCGTTGCGTTTTGCATATACTTTGTTTTTAGGTTATTACCAATAAAAGTTAAACAAAATTTCAGTTAACCGTTTAGTCAAGGGCAATGAGTTTCAAAATTTAGAGTAAATCTTGTTATCGAGCTACGATCGTCGACTTTTCACTGAAATTTTCTCTTAACCGTTCAGTCAAGGGCAATGGAGTTTCAAAATTTCAAGTAAATCTTGTTATTGCGCTACGATCATCGATATATTGTCTGTTTTTGCAAACCTTCTGCTAGAATACGACTCAATTATTTGGTTTCCAATAATTCCTTAGAATAGCTCAACTAATAACATAAACATACGTATTTCAAACTTCAAAAGTATCTAAAATTCGCGTTTTAACACTTTGGCTGCCACGTGATCCATATATGGGTGACAGTATTTTTTACTATGGAACTACAACAATGAATTCTCAGGATGTAATGTTAAAATTGAAATTTGAATAGGATTCATGAATTTTAGTAAGGTTACGAAAATAAATGGTAAGACAAATTTTAAGTTACGTTGTTTACAATTGTCTGAAATCAAAATTTTGGTCCTCTAAAGAAGTGTACAGTTTTGGTCTGGCAGCCATTGTGTTAAAGGAGGACGAACGAGTCGATTTAGAAAGTCGATGATCGACTCGAGTGATCATTTTCTAGAAAATCGAGATCTAGCGTCCCTAGTTTGAATCGTAAATGTGAAAACTTGAAGAACAAGTATATTGAAATAATATTTATTGTAATATCGTAAGTGTATCGATCTTCCGTTTGTGGTTACGTAAGAGTGCGTATATTCGTAAATGGCCACAAGTTTCCTCGTATTGAGGTATTTTCGTGGCAATACAGAGTCATCTTACTATAAAACTTCGCAAATCAAGAGATGCCTCCCTGCCGTTGTTTTATGCAGTTTTATGTGAAAAGTTGTACCCGTTATGATATTCACGAGTATTTTCCTCTCGCTCGTGCTAAGCAAGCGGGAAAATTGCCAATTGGCATATGTCTGCTTTATTTGCACCACGGTATTATTCGCGAGCCTGTCTTAATATGGCGTATAAATTAAAGTTGTTGCCATACATATTTACTGGCATTGCAGCTTCCTTACACGGTCTGCTAATAAAATTGCCCGGTAAATTGTTTATTCAGTTTCTTCCTCGTAACAGAGAATAATTATTTAATAATATAAGTCATAATATTCCATCGATTCTCTGACGCAAATCGTGCAAATTCGTCTAATCCCACAATACAGATATTACTATTTCGTACTCGACGATTACTTTTACCTGCAATCATTTAAATTGTAAATAATAAAATAAATTCATTCGTAACGTTAATAAAATTTATTGTTGCAAACTATAATTGTTATTAATAAACTGTTTCTATTATTTTATTCAGTTCAAAATGGATCAGTTATTCTAATTTATTTTTTTAATTTTGTTTATTAACCTCAAAATGACAGAATGATCAAAATTGTATGTATATATTGAACAAATATTTAACGTAGGTTATTTTGATCGTTTCTATTATTTTATTAGGTTCAAAATGGATCAATTATTCTAATTTATTTTTTTAATTTTGTTTATTAACCTCAAAATGACAGAATGATCAAAATTGTATGTATATATTGAACAAATATTTAACGTAGGTTATTTTGATCGTTTCTATTATTTTATTAGGTTCAAAATGGATCAATTATTCTAATTTATTTTTTTAATTTTGTTTATTAACCTCAAAATGACAGAATGATCAAAATTGTATGTATATATTGAACAAATATTTAACGTAGGTTATTTTGATCGTTTCTATTATTTTATTAGGTTCAAAATGGATCAATTATTCTAATTTATTTTTTTAATTTTGTTTATTAACCTCAAAATGACAGAATGATCAAAATTGTATGTATATATTGAACAAATATTTAACGTAGGTTATTTTGATCGTTTCTATTATTTTATTAGGTTCAAAATGGATCAATTATTCTAATTTATTTTTTTAATTTTGTTTAATAACCTCAAAATGATAGAATGATCAAAACTGTATGTATATATTGAAAAAATATTTAATGTAGGTTATTTTGATCGTTTCTATTATTTTATTAAGTTCAAAATGGATCAATTATTCAAGTTTATTTTTTTAATTTTGTTTATTAACCTCAAAATGGTAGAATGATCAAAACTGTATGTATATATTAAAAAAATATTTAATGTAGATTGTTTTGATCGTTTCTATTATTTTATTAGGTTCAAAATGGATCAGTTATTCAAGTTTATTTTTTTAATTTTGTTTAATAACCTCAAAATGATAGAATAATCAAAAACAGTATGTATATATTGAACAAATATTTAACGTAGGTTATTTTGATCATTTCTATTATTTTATTAAGTTCAAAACAGATCAGTTATTCAAGTTTATTTAACAAATTTTTTTTATTAACCTCAAAATGATAGAATGATCAAAACTATATTGAAAAAATATTTAATGGTGATTGTTTTGATATATTCACTGATATTGTCAGTGGCCATGAAACAATTACTTGTTCAATCATTATTGGTGAAGTAATCTGATGCTTCGATCATCTGCATAGGGGAATGAAGTTTTGAACATAATGTCTATATACATACATATATTGTATATTAAGTTCTAAACTTCATTCCCCTATATATTGTATATATATGTATGTATAAGTATAGTTGATGATTACTCCATCAATAATGATTGAAAGAGTCGCAAGTGTTTCATGGTCGACAATTTTAGTGAACTAAATCTAATGTTTCGTTCGTCTATAAAGGGGAATAAAGTTTTTAATGTTTATACGTACATATATATATATAAGTATAATTGATGATTACACCATCAATAATGATTGAACAAGTAGCAAGTGTTTCATGGTCATTGACAATTTTAGCGAATCAAGTAATTTAATCTATTGTTTCTATTATCTATATCGAGAAATAAATTGTATTAGAAATACGATCATTTCAGTTGTATCAATATACTAATAAGTCATAAAATCATCGAACAATATTTCTTATAAGCAGACAATTTTTTGAGATTGAATTCTCTTTAATAACTATTTAAAATATTTTAAAAAATATACCTAAAAGTTACGTAAAATATACGTAAAAAGTTATCGTTTTTTAAAATTCAGAAAGAAATTTTTTTTTATATAATAATATTACTTATTGTAGGAGCCTCGAGTGCAATTACGTCATTCTTCATTTTCAATTTATTTTAGTACGTATAATCACACTGTTTGCTCTAAATTAAATTGTTTAATTTACCTACACTGTTATGGTACCAAGAAAAATTTGTCAGAAAAGCAACATGGTCGTCAAGTTTCTTTTTTTTAGCGAATCATTTATCAATTTAATAACGTTAATATTGCAGATAACAAAATTCTTTTATTTTGACGAGAGTTACGCCATTGTTTAATTCACCTACACTGTAAAGGGACCAAGAAAAATTTGTCAGAAAAGCAACATGGTCGTCAAGTTTCTTTTTTTTAGCGGATCAT